CTAAACGAAGTTCATCGGATTGAACCCAGCCGCTTGATCTGGTCAGCAGACTCCCGAGGATCTCAAAATTAGGAAAACAGAAAGTGTAAGCGGAGCGAATGCCTAAGGGGAGGAGGCGGGGAGAGGAATTCTTAAGATCTCTCTTCACTGATGCTTCCCAGGGCTGGACACTTGAGAACAAATGAGGGCTCCTGGAATCCAAAAATTATAGAGCCACTTGAAAATACCACAACATGTCATAATTCATCCTGTTTGTTCTGTGGGTCATTTCGATGGTAAAGACAATGGCTTTTTATGTTACCCAGATTTAAAACCAAGCCATGAGAGAGGTCTTCCATGTTGTCACATGACTCAGCAGATAGACCTCGGGGATACCCCAGATCCCCCCCCATCACCTCCCCCCCCCAGCAAGTGAGAAACCCCCACAGCCAAAAGATCCAGCTGGATCCATTTCTCCCAGAATTCTCAAGGAGCTTTGCACTGGTTGCTGTTTGGTTTTCGTTTTCCTTTTGAAAAACTCCAAGGTCATTTGACAAAACTTAGAAATTGAATCCACTCCCAATTCACCCCTTCTCTACTGTTAATTGCCTTGTCCTAAAGCTCTTGGCAGAATGTAACCTATTATACCTTATCAGACACTTCCTTGTCTTAAATCCAGGGCGATCACATTTAATTTCATTAGAATTTGTGTCCTGTGGTCACGCATAAACTCCTAAACTAGCAACAATGAAAAACAAGGTGCATTCCTAAATTTCTAACTCCAACCTACTTAGGCAGAGCATTATCCAGTCGATTCGAGGGTGGTTTTTCAAAACACACAATAATAAATGTGTCAGACACTCTGCTGGGTTCTTGTATTATCTCTAATCCTCTACCGAAGCCCCCTTAGCAGGTGAGGAAGGAACCTATACCAGGTCACTTGGCAAACCCACGGCCCCATCCGCTCGGAGGCTTGGCCTAGTGTGACTCAAGGGCCAGCCACCCAGCTGTCCATTCACCACTCCTTGTTGCCCTGGGCTGGAATTCCGTCTTCATACAGGTGAAAGCTAGCATCTGTTTCACTTAAAGCGGCCACTAATTGGATGTGCACTAAACAAAGGGGAGTTCATTTGGGGGGCCTGAGGTGACAGATCCAGGGGATCTTTGGGTGGGGCTCTGAATTACTTTACTGAAAACCTCGTACAAGTCAGACAGAGCGTTCCCTAGCACTCCCACCTCTCATTCCCCATTTTCTCCCATATGCCGAGAAATGAAAGAGGAATCTGCCAACTTGGATCTCATACACATCCATTAAAATGACATCCTTTATACTAGATGCAGCATGTTAACTCAAAGTTACTCAAAGTAAAAGGCAAACTTGATTGAAGAACTGTCATTGAGATAGACTCTCTGTGGGTACGGTTTGCAAGGCAATTGTTTGAGCCCTTCCCCCTCCCCCACCCCGCAGCTAAGCTGAACGGACCCGCCCTGAAACACACGCAGAGTTTAAGAATCCTCACACCTTCCCCCACCCACTCCATGGTCTCTTACTGGTCAGGGTCTTACAGCTAAGATCCTCTTTGGCTCAGGTGACTTGGGGTACCTGGAAGTCATCACCCCATATCTTGCCACTAATCCCAAGAGGTGTGGGGGAGGTCTGCTCAGGTCTGCTCTGCCCTTTACTAAGTGTTCAGGGAATGGCATTTAGTCTCTTTGAACCTCCATTTCCCATCTGCAAAATGGGCTGTGACTCCCACCTACCGAGTGCCTGAGAGGCGTGTAGAAGGGCATGCCAGTGGAAAGCGCCAGACCTATGTTAGGGGTTCTAAATAGTCGTCATTGTTCTTTGCAAGAGCCTGTCTGGCACTTTGCAGTAGATTAATTCCTGTGTCCCCTGGGGGCAATTGCTTTCACTTAAATGCAGCTTCTCACCACAAAGAACAGCCCAGGTTCTCTGAGGCAGCCTGATTTATGGAAAAGAGCCCTGGCCCTTGCAGGTGGCAGTTCTTATCCTGGCCTTTTGTGTCTCAGTTTACCTTCAACAGAAGATGTGCTGTGTGGACTGGAAACCACTTTGGCATCACCTGCCCACCTCAATACATACACATCACTTTTCTAATACAGAGATCTGAATTCCCACCTGAGACAATGACAAGGTCCAAAGACAGCTCTTAAAGGCCTTCCACTCTGAGACACTGCGTGGCCCTCCCTGACCCTGACAGCAGGCTAAGACAAAGGTCTGAGGCCCACTGCTGCCCAGGAATGCAGGAGGTGGCAGGACTGGAACTAGACCATCCTGACATTTGTCTCTTCACTCCAGATGTGTGTTACGTTTATTTTCTATGAGCTGGGCCAGTACTAAAGTGCTTTGCAGGGTCCTCTTGCATGAAGACCTGGACAGGTAGCTCTCTTGCCATCCTGGCCCTGTCCCGGCTAAGCTCGGAGCAGCTCTCTGACTCCCCAACCTACCCCCTCCTTGCACACCCCACTAGCTGTGGCTTTTCACCAAGTGCTCCTGGGGGAGGTTTATCTGAGAACTTACACCTCCCTCCAACCCTCTCCTGTTACTTGTTGTGAACACTTCTCCAGACTAGACAAGTACAATTTTTTAAAAAATGAAAAGATCCTATTTATAAGGAGGCCGAGGACAAGTCATGGAAAAAGACAGGCGATTATAGGGTTCTGGAGATGTCAGATTTCTCAAGGTGGAATGATGCTGCTTGTTTCTGCTGTGTTTCCGAATGTTCTAGACTAAAGGAGTGTTGGAGGAAGGGTGGAAGGCAGGGCTCACCCCTCTCCAAATAGGGCAAGGAACAGCATCTAGGAACAGTGAAGGGCTTCTGCACAGGCAGGGCGCTCCCCCTGGGAGTCTGATGTCTAAGGAGGAGGTACAACAATGGCCACTGCAGGATTCATTTGAAATGAATGGAACAGCCTGAGTATTTCTCACCAGAACTGGTATTAGGGGGAACATTTCCAATTACAGTATAAGATTTACTTGAGCAAAGAGGCAGTTCTCCCCACACACACCCCTGTTTCTTACAAGCTGAATGTTGTTAAAAGTAGTCAACTTTTCTGAACCTTAACTTCCTCCTCTGTAAAATGGTGAAAACATTTCCTATCTCAGAATAGTTGGAAGGTAAAATGAGATAATGTGCATAAATCTTGAAGTGCTAGGTTCGACACACTATAAGTCATAATCACATTAAAAAAAAAAGTAGCCGGGAAAGATGCCCCTGTAATTTAGTGAGATAGTGGCCAACGTCCACACGTACACACTCACACACCCCAGGAAGCAAGCACCATTGCTGTGCCCATTTCAGTCATGGAAGGTGAGGCGCAGAGGGGTTCATCATTTGCCCAAAGTAACAAATAAGAGTCTGGTGAAAAACCAAGGCAATCTTCCCCCTTGAGGCAGACTTGGTCTCCAAATTGCTCCCTGACCCCCTTTCATGGTAGGGATTCTCTTTATTTGAAAGGAGATGCTTGGGAGCCCATATATCCTGAGTGCTTTCACCTGCTCCAGGAGTCACTTGTATCTTTTTTAAACCCTCCCCAAAAAAGCTGGGAAAAACTACTGCTTCTTGTAAAAAAAAAAAAGAAGAAGAAGAAGAAAAGAAAAACTGTAATTTTTGCATGTGCTGTGCTCCCGACAGGGATGCACAGCCTCCCCGTGGAGGGACCTTGTTGGAGGCCTCCCAAGATAAGGGACAAGCTCACCTCCTTGGCAGCAGCCAAGTGCTCTGAACCTTAGCTTCCCTGTCTATAAAAGGTATTTAGCTCAAAACCAATAAAGTTTAACACCTTAAAACCCACTCCTGCTGGCCCTCGGCCTCCACTCCATCCTTCCCCTGGTCTGGAGAACGGCAGGCTCTCATCCATCCCTAGCGCCTGCCTGGTACCAGCAAGCTTCTCTAGGCCTTCCCAAGCTGCTGACCAGCGCCGGCTCTAGCCGCTCGCGGGCTTTTCCTACGCTGGCCCCAGCCGGCAGAGACCCAAGACAGCCGGCAGAGAAAGTCAGAGGCTCATCTTGAGCCCAGTAGTCTGTGACCAGACGAGACTAGGAGATAACAACAGTCATCCCAAACTCCCAGAGAAGCGCGAAGGGCCGCGCGGCGGAGGTCCCCCATGAGCTCTGGGGCGCACAGCTCCCAGCCTCCCGGCCGGGTTGTGAGGCAGAAACACTTAACAGGGAGGAAGGGAGCCGTGAGAGCGACCAGGAAATATCCAGGAAAGTTTCTCGGGAGAGGGTGTGCCTAATTTCACGCCGACCCGCCGCCTTACTTCTGGGGATTTCTGGGGAGCTCCAGGGCTGGATGAAAGGGCTAAGCGGGCTCTGGGGACGCTCCCGGGATCCCGCAGCTCCAGAGGATCCTTCTTCTTATCGGCTACCCTATCTGTCGGCAGGCAGCGAGGAGAGAGAAGGTCCTGACTATCCCCGAGGGCGAGGAGAACAGGACCCCAGGCTGCTTCCTCTCCGGGACAACACTTCCCCCAGGCAGCCGGCAATGCCCCTCTCCACCCTGCCCGGAAACCTCAGCACGAAGTGTAAAATAGGACACCCGGTCCTGCGACCATCGTACCCAGACTTTCTGTTTCTCTCTCTTTTGTCTTTTTCCCTTTTTTGGGAGGCAGAGCAGCGCTGTCCAACCTTCCTTTGGAACCTACTGACTAACTAGATATTTTTGTGTGTGTGGGCCTCGGATGGTGCTGGCGGTGGGGTAGGAAATACAGAATGCGGCCCGTCTACATCGCCGTCACTTTATTGTACTGTCACCGTTAATTTAACTATAAATACTACGGTGGGGAGCGACTCGCCGGCGGCCTTGAACTTCGGGGCTGCAAGCCCCGGCGCGGCCCGACCCCAGGCGCCCACCCTTCGGACGGTACACTATTTACAGCTCCTCTTCCTCGACCCCCACCCCCCTCCTCCCGCAAGGCAGCGCGTGTGCAAGAAAGTAGCATCGTCTGGTGTGCAAGTCCTTCCAGTTTAGGCAAGGGCCACGGCCGGCCCGCGGCCGTCAGCTGTCCGAGTCCAAATCGCTTTTACCTTCCTCTTCCCTCTTCTCGGGCGACGCCTTCGACGACGTCTTGTTCCACTTCTCGGCGTTTTCCGACTCCTCTGAAGAGGACCGCTTCTGCCGCCTCCATTTGGCGCGGCGGTTTTTAAACCAGACCTGTTGCGCCAGGGAGAACAAAACAACGGTGAGCATCAAAGGCGCGCTCCCCCGCCAGGCCCTAGCACCCCCAACCCCCGCCCCCGGGCTCGCCGAGGGAAGTGGAGGGACCCCGCGCGCAAGCCAGCAGAAGGGGGCCCGTTCCCGCTTCCGTATTTTCATTCGACTTCCTGGGCCTAAAGCGCCCTCCCGCAGCCTGCGGGCCGCCCCGGGGATGTTTCCAAAGAGCCGGGAGACCCAGGGAGAGCCGAGCATACCCGGCTGGAGGGGAGTGGAGGGGTAGGGGGCTGATTCCGCTGGAGAGGGCGCGCCCCGGCGGGGTCCCGAGCCTACCTCCACCTTCTCCTCGCGGAGGTGCACCTTCCGGGCCAGCTGCTCGCGGGTGCCCACGTCTGGGTACTTGGTCTCCTGGAAGAGGTTCTCCAGCGCTTCCAGCTGCTCGTCGGTGAAGATGGTGCGGTGCCGCCGCTTCCGCCGGCAGTGCAGCTGGTTGAGGAGCTGCAGCTCCGTGCGCGACAGGGTGCCCACGTTCATGTAGGGCATCATCTGGTGCGGCACGGGGGGCACCAGCACGGAGCCGGGACCCTCGTAGCCTGCGACAGAGGGAGGCGTCCGGGGTCAGCCGCCTTCCTTGCCGCCGCCGCGCGCGCAAACACTCCCGCCCCGCCGGCGACCCACTCGGATTTAAAAGCGTCTGCCAGCGGGTGCGGGGAACCAGGGGGTGCGCGGAAAGCAGGGTGCAAGGAACGCGGCGCGGAGGGGGGGTGCCTACAGTGCTACCGCGTCCACTCGCACACTCCCAACGCGGGTTAGGGGAATCCTAAAAGCTCAGCCTCCCCCACGCAGGCACGGCTACAGTTTCTGCTAACTCTCGCCTAAAGTGTGCAGCAAGTGTGCAAGCCCCTGCGCCCGATCCGCCCAAAGATGGGGCCTGGGGGCAGGTTTGCACGAGGAGAAAAGTCGGTGGCAAATGAAAGAAGCAAACGCCGCCGCCCACCCGCGTCCCCGGGCGCCGAGGAGCGCGGCGGGCCGGCGAAGCCGAGGCCGGCGCGAGCGCGACCCTACCTGGGGGCGTCGGGACGCAGGAGCACTGCTGGGCGCCCAGCGGCGGCACGGCCCCGCAGCAGGCCGGGCCCACGGGGGCCGCCTGCACGTGCAGCTGCCCGTAGAAGTAGTTGCTGTAGCCCAGGCGCGAGCCGCCGACCGCGGCCGGGAGGCCTGCGCCGCCGGGGGCCACGGGGCGCGGGTAGAAGGCGCCATAGTCCGAGGAGGCGCCGCCACCGGCGCCGCCGTAGAGCGAGTCCCCGTGCAGGGCCGGGAAGACGACGGGAGCCGCGGCGCTGGGCGCCACGGGCAGCACCGAGTCCTTGCAGCGCGGCCGGGCGGCCAGGATGTTGTCGATGCTGAACATGCTGGCGGGCATCCCCGAGCCCCGCGCCGGGACCGGGGGGCGGCTGGGGCGCGCCGAGGAAAAAAGCCTCCAAGTGAGGTGGGGGGGTTGGGGGGGGTCCCCGCTCCTCCGGCGGAGGACCAAACCGAAAGAGAGCGCCGGCGAGCGCGCAGCCCCGCGCCCCTCCCCGCCCCCTGCGTCCGTCGCCCTCCTCCCGCCCGCCCGCCCCTCGCTGCAGCGTTCGCCGAACTCGACCCGCGGGTAGGACGGAGCTTAGACCAGCTGAACCTCTTGTTGGTTTTATACTGAGTCGACGTCATCCTGGATTTAGTTCCTGGTAATATGCAGATGACAAACAGAACCAGATTTGGCCCTTTCTGTTCCTTTGGGTGGGTGGGGGTGGGGGTGGGGGCTTGAAGAGAGGGGGAGGGGAAGAGGTGCCAAGGAAAGGGGGCTACGGGGACCTGAAAAGAGATTGTGGATTGCGAATTAATGAAATTAACCTAATCTTTTCCATTCAGCCGTCCCGCCGCGGGCCGGCGGAGCTGGGCGGGCGTCCTAATTGCCCCGGTTAATCTCATTAATTCCGCAGTGGGGCCGCAGTTAACAACTCCCTCCGCCGACCTTTCCGCCCCCCACCTTTTCCCCTCAGTTTGGGGGTCCTCTTATTGGGTGCGATTTCCTCTGCATGAAACTCAAATTCATTGTGGCTAGTTTTACTTTGAGGCTACTTTTTCCTTTTCCTTTCGGAACTGGTTTTGTTTTAGAAAATGTGAGGCTGTGGCCTCAATCCAGCAAGATTGAAATTCCGCTCTTGCCTTCGGTCCCCGTGCACTGACCACCTCTGGTTTTTATCTCGACGTTCTCTCCCGAATGGAACTGGTTAAGCCCTCCCTTCCAAAAAAAAAAAAAAAAGCCCTCGTTTTTGCAAGAGCCAAAATTTGTAACGACAAAACGACGAAAGAAGTGCACCGTGATTCTTAATTACATATATATGTATATATGTATATGTATGTGTATATATATATATATATATATATGCCTTTTTTTTCTTTGTAGTCACTTTAGGTCTGAAAGCTAGCATAGTATAGTAGTCCTTAGGCCCTTACACAGCGGAGACCCAAATTCATCCACTAGTTTAAAATTCGCCACCCAGAACAGCAATCAGAAGCGATGCTTCCAAATGCTTCCTGCGTGGGTGTCAGTAGGTTTTGTGGTTTTGTGTGTGCGCTTTTTTTTTTTTTTTCGGAAGTAGAGTGTCTTCTTTCTTAACTGTTTTTGTTTTCAACGCAGAATCCCCAAAATGGGACTTTAGGATTCTCTATCCCCTTTCCCAGCAAGTGAATCGCATTTTCTCCTTTTGACTTGCTGGCTCCCCGACTGAGACCGATTCCCCCCCCCCCCCCCCCGCAGCTGACCTTCCCCCACCAGGCCCAAGCTGGGCTCCCTGGGCCCCGGTGGCCTGGCCGAAGCTCGGCTCTGGTCGCGGCAGGCGGCCACCGTGATTTGCAGGCTCCTCGGCGCGTCACGGCCCCGTCAGCCGGAGCTGTTGGAGGCGCGTCCGGTCCACGACGGAGCGCGGGCTGCCGAGCGCCCTAAGAAAAGGTAGGAGACGGTGCGCACCGCTTGAAAGCAGCACCCGAGGGCCTTGACACCGGCGCAAGGCAGAGCCTTACTTTTTGGGCCCTTCGCGCAGGCAACTCCGGCCACTCCAGGGAAAGGGGTAGTGCCCGGCCCAGGCGAGACTGCCTAGCGCTGGGTACCGGGGCACTTCGGGCTTCCGAAGGAAGGTCGACTTTAACTCGGGCCCGTTATTCTCTATTTCTTACTGCCTAATTAACCTGAGGCCCCAGCAAGGGTGTCTGAAGTCGCCGCCATAAGGCTAAGTATGTGGCCTGCCTCCTCGGCGGCTCTGGGGCACAGGGGAAAGGGTACTCGTCAATTGGTGTTTTCGGGTCAGAGGACAGCTTGCGCGGAGTTTTAGGGCGGCCCGCGCGTAGAACTCGGGAGGCGCGAGGAGCTGATCGCAGAAGCTAGGCGGCGGCGCTTCTCCTCCTAGGCCTCCCCGGGTGGACCTCGGCGCCCTCATGCCCATCCTCTCACCCACTCAAGCCTTGAGAAATGTGCTTCTTTGAGCGCTGGGCCAATTTACAAGTGGTTGTAGGAGGAGATTAGGGTAGGACAGAGATGGGTGTCAATTTGGGGAGGCGCTGGATTCTTTTTTTTTTTTGGACACAATAAACTCTGCTCTCAGAGGAAAGAGTGTGGGACCCCCCCCCCCCCTTCAGAGAGGTCAAGTCTAGGGAAAGGAGTAAAGAAGTACATCACGTCTTCCTGTCGTACTAACTAGGGATGGAGGTTTTATTTTTATTTCATTTTATTTTTTTCGTTCGTAAAGACTTAAAAATCATCAGGTAGATTCCAGGCACACATATTCCCCGTCAGCCCTTTCCGAGTTTAATTCTACAGAGCAAATGATGAAACACAGCTCGCTGTTGCAACTTCAGCAGGTATTGTGGGTGACTTCCTGTTCGTGGCCAGGCGCCCGCGGCGGTGCGCGCGTGCGTGCGTGGATCTTTTAATACCTTTGATGAGCCAGGCATGAGCAGAAGCACGGTGGGAAAGCGGGACATATTCCTCGTGGGTTTCAGCAAAGCTGCTGAGACCAGCTCCACGCGGAGACTTCAGTGGCAGATCTCAGAGCGCCTCCAAATTTTTAAATAAGGCAACCTGCCCGCTTACTGGCAACACACAACATGGTCTTGCCTCCTTCTTCTGGGTACAGAGTTCTCTTTAATAATCAGATTTAGCAAACCCCTAAGCTTCGCCCTTTGCTCTTCTGTAGCCTTCCCACTGTGCCATCCGATTCCTGGAAGAAGAGCTTGGTAAGAGCAAGTGAGTCTGGAGCTTCGGAGTTCTAGACGGTACATTGCCACCTTGCAATTCAACCCTCCTCTTCAGGCCTCAGGTTTTTTTAGTTTTTGAGCCAATGGCAACATTCATTGGGTCCCTTACTACCTGAGCGTTTAATGACGCTGGGCAATTGCCCCAGTTTGCCAAGGAGCCTGGGGTGGAATTAGAAGCTTTTTTAGTACTTTTCATTGGGACAAAGGAGTGTGCTGTCCCCTCCCCCACCCGAGGGCAGGGTCTCTGTAGGAGCTGGGTCTTAGATGAGGAAATGCAAGTGCGAAAGCTCTATCCTGCAGTGCATGGTGGCTTTAAGGCGAGAAGTCACAGGGACTCCAGGGTCACCCCGCTCCAGTTATGCAGTGGGCTTTCGGGGAGCTCACCCCGATGTGATGGGGCCTCTTCCTCCAGCTTTCGGCTCAATCCGAAGACGCTCCACTAATCGGTAGGGAGGCGAGTGCCGAGAAAGTCAGTCAGGGACGCTGCACCTCCTTTGCGGGCTGAAACCCACAAGTGTCCACAACGCACACTAAACAATCAGTGGGCTCCTGTTGACCGGTGCAATTGGAATAACAAATGCGACGCACGCAAATTGCCCGCCTCGTGTTGCTAAGCGATTGTTTGTCACCCTGCAAGCACCGCTCAGCATGGGAGGACCGGGAGCGTCTGGAAGCGGCCGGCCAGAGCTTAGGTCGGAAATGCAGTAAACACGTTCCTGATTTTCCCTATTATCACCCAAACACGATTTCACACAAAGCAATCACCATACAGAAGTCTATGAAGATGTGTTTGTTGAAGAGTCAGTCGCCCTGGTAATAGCCTTCATTTTTAAAATATTAAAGACTAGATCAGCAGATTCCACATGGGTAAGGTGTATTTGCGGTTCAACATCTCTCAAGGTGCATTTGCACTGCGGTCATCGTTAGATTGATTCATAGAGTGTAGATTAAATTGCTTCTCTGATTTAAAACCGAGTCCCCAAGTTTGGAGTGTGCATCTGGGTATCTCCTCCGGCCCAAAGATATTTTTATCATGGGGAAAACTGTTATCCCACTACACACACACACACACACACACACACACACACACACACACACACACACACACACACACGGTTATAAAAAGAAAAATACGTTTATGGTCCCCAACTTCTTACGGTTCGGTTCCAGGAACTTTCTTATTTCTTTCAGCCTCTTACCCGGTCACAGAGCAGAGTTCACAATTGGATGTGTTTAAGTAGGATTTTAAGTGGCATGTGCAAAAAGCTGGCGTGCCGTTTTCAAAAGTATGGAGCCCCTCGCAGGGCGAATTAGCCGGGTCTGAAGAATTAGGCACAATGGGCAGATGCGGCTGCCGCCTTGGGCACAGAGTAGAGACCCGCGCAGTCTGCACAAAGCTTGTCGGTTTTATTGTTTACATTTAGACTTGAAAAAAAATCCAGAGTCTGGAAACTAGTGCTCAAAACCCTTTCCATCACCCTGTGGCTCCCTGGAGGACACTGTCGGGAGCCCCAGGGGGTTTTCCGTACGAGGTTGGGTGGATGGAGTTGAACAGGAACGCAAATGCCACCCGGCTAAGAAGCAGCGCTTAGGAGGGCTAGGACTCTGACTTTCAGTCGGATTTAGGGACGTTTACTCGCTGAATTTTGATAGAGGTTTTGGAACATTCCACATAAACCCCCCTAGCCCCTGAGGACGAAATTATCAAGGTATTAGAAAAACTTGTAACACTGGGGGAGAAGAAGAGGGTGTCGAAAAATAACACGTTCCCAAGGCATCAGGGAAAAAAAAAACAAGTTCTAGTTTTCCAGGGTTGGTTACAGAAATTCTCTTTCAGGCAAGCTATTTACCAAAGTTTGTTTCAAAGTGACTGCACCGTTGCTTTTGCAAATCACAGAATGCAAATGATGATAATTTGTTCTCAGTGGAACTTTCTCTTGAAATGATTAGCAAAGTCAGTCATTTGAAAATTAGAGCGATTGCACAGACGGTTCCCGAAGCCGTGCGCTAACCGATATCAGCTTCTAAAGTTTTCATTCATGTAAACCTCATTAATGAAGATCTTTTATTTAAACGTCAAGGGGATTTGAAATTTAGAGTAAATTATGAAGCTTGTATGTCTAGCCA